GAACGAGCATTCTACCAAATTTATATTTTCCAAATCCGGCCAAAAATTATATTTTCAATTCGGATCATTTATTTGGCTTTTTTTTTTAGGATCCTTGATAGGTCAAATGTAAATGTTTCGAGAGAGAATTAGAGAGGCAACAACGACGGAGCTAGAACGACTGAGCAACGGAGGAATGACTATTTTGATAATTCGATCGACTGATGTAGGTTTTAAAATTTAGATCCGAACACTCAATTCGATCGACCGTAAGGTATTGGATTGAGATGAAAGGATTGATTTGATCTGGACACATTGTAATGTCCAGTGGCATTGTCATGACGTCTTATACCATTCAATATTACATTTATTTATATAAACACCATAACTACTTACACACTCAACTATAAAAAAAAATTTCATTTCATTAACTCACTCATGTATTTTTCAAAATATTTCTAATTTATATCACAATCAACTAATATACTATTATATTTATTAAAACTCGTGTTTAATCCAAATAAATATACATTTGGTGGATGGAGGGAGTAGTTGTTTTTGCTCTATTTCGCATAATTCATCAAACTAATATTCTTTATACACGTTTATCATAAACTCAAAAAATCTTTTTTAAAGACTGATTATGCACGCATAATTGATGATTCGTTAAGAAAAATGAGCACTCAAACATGAGATTTGAGTATGTATAGAGGATGCCATAGCAGCTGCAACTTCGTCAACATTTTTAATTGACCTATTATATGTTGGATTTTTAGATTGTTTATGATAGTAATTATACAAAACCTATAGGTGGAACAATCAGTTGATATATGTTCATTTGTGTTAAAATTCTTTAGAACGACATGATAAAAGCATTGTTTAAATGATGAGTATGTTAATTTCATGAAGAAAAAAAATTCGATAACGTATTTTTAAAATTAAGCGAGTATAACTGAGGATTAGTTATAAAAATAGACTTCTCACACATGAAGTTTGAGTGCGTCCAGAGGTTGCCAATACTTGCAACTTCACAACTTTTCTTCTGATCAATTGTTATTTTTGTTCTTTTGTGCATAATTCATCCAATTATTATTCTTTGTATATGTTCTTCATAAACTCAACTATAAATTTCTAAAAAGTTATATATAAAGAAAGATTTTCCGTCTTAATCAATGGATGAAAATAATACAAAAATATATATACAATCCATCTACCACTATTGGAATATTCGTTTATAACAATTTCAACAACCTAATATATTCTAAAAGATAATTACACTTAATGTCCAAGTTATAACCCCACAATAATTTATATATATTGGGCTAACATTTAAAATAAAAGTAAGGTAAAGTTACTAAACCCAATTTTAAATTGACAAAGATGTTTCTTTATTGACACTCTATTTTTATTATTTTGATTAAGCTTCTGTGAATTTTCTATACACATAGTTGTCATCACACTTTCTTTTAAACCAAATTTAATCATACTGAGCTAAATACAAAGACCTTTGAATGGAGTCAAATGAGAGTCTCAATGAAAATGTTAGCTATATGTTGTTTGCTTCTAACGTGGATAGGTTTAATAAATCATTTTAGATATTGATGTCGCAAAAGATGACAAGGATTTCTATGCGTTTTATTCCTTCATGGAAAACTTAATTTGACACATCTATAAATGTTTTACGTGTGATTATGATTCAAAGTATTTTATGTTCCTCTATGACTCAATACATGTCATCTTACCGTATTATTCATCGGTCTTCTTGTGCTTATATACACCGTAACAGAATAGAGTTTCAAAGCATAGAAATCATCATCTCATTAGCTAAATTAATATTATTTAATAAGTTTATTTATTTAAATAAATGTTTATAATTTATAAAGATAAAATAATGCTTAAAAATTTATCTAAAAATCCAAACTTGGCCTCAAAAAGTAAAATAATGGCTTCTGGAGCGACACTTGGCCACGGGCTCACAATTCAACAAAAAGTCAACAGCATGGGGTCAAAATCAACGATCAACGGTAGCACAGAAAGCAGTGAGTACGGAATTCCAGCGGCGGCTTCACAAATGCCAACGGATGCAGAATCTGTGTGCGAAGCGGAAGTCCCTACATGGTGGTGAACAAAGCGACGACTACATTCATCTCAACGGCGCAAACCAACCCATTTTTTAAACGAAGTAACGACTATGGATTTATTCTTCTCTTTTTAAGGCAAAAATTCATTTCCTTTCATGGCTCCTATAAAAAAATTCTCAAATTCTCATAATTCAATCTATTGCACCATGAATAAGTTCTAAGTAAGGAAATCAATTTATATATATATAAATAAATATTTATGTTCCTCTTTCTTCTCTATTTTCTTTTTCTCCTTCTACCATAGTTCACCCAATTCTTTCCTCTAAAAAATTTTCCGTCATTTCGGTAAGCCCTAGCTACTTACACCTTCAATCTCTTCCTTCCGCCATCTTCATCTTTTATTTATAAGAAAAAATCATAATTTCACATCCGATTCCCTTTCAATTTCGCCCAGTCCTAATCCTTTTACCGTAAATTCCCCTAATTCCTCCACTAACAACGATGTTCGATGAAATCAATAACACCACCTCCACCAATTCTAACCGCCTCTTATTCCACCACCATTCATCTTGTCTATAAAATGGTAAGCATAAAAAGAAGAAGAAGAAGATTGTATTACTTCACTCCCCCTTCTCTTGCTATTTTTCTCGAATTTCCTTAACTTCGAACATATTACTAATATTCTGAAAATCTGCATGGCTGCATGGGATTGGAGTACCTCTTTTAATTATGTTAATTATTCTCTTGTTGATATTTATTCTAGAGTTGTAATTGTGATTAAGTTGAGAATTATGTTGAAGTTTTGGATCTAATTTAAATTGGAATTAGTCGGTGAGGTTGAACTCATTATTTTAGTTGGTGAATTGTAGAGATTAAGTTGGCGAAAGTGTGAATAATTGATAAGGAACTTCTTATTTTGATTTTAGGATTAGTTGAATTTAGGCAAAGTATAAATAGCCGACAATCAGCCCTTGCAGGTTGTTTTGGGTTTGATTCGATTTGAGAATTGATAATTGAGGCTAGAAGTGTTGTTATGAAAGAAAAAATATCTTAGTTCAAGGATTATTCATTTAAATGTTATTGTGCACTTCTAATTTCCGAAATCGAGGAAAGTCATGTTACTTTGAACATATATTGTTAATGTGGAGATATTACAATAGATAACATTTGTTGTTTGAATATAGGGCATTCAATGAAAAATTTTGTAAACAACTTGTTGTTGCTGGTCACATAATTTGAGAGTTTCAAATTTATTCCATCATGATTCGATACTTATTTTACAATAAGTGTGAGGAGAGGAATATTTTAAGAACTCTTAAGCCTGTCGAAAAGAGAGTTCTATTGCATCATATTTTGATTAATTACATCTATAATGAATTGTGCTATTATGAAATATTGTTTAGATTTGATTGCAGCTCCCTCTGTTGTTTGAGGACGAACATTGGTGCAAGTGTGAGGAGGAAAATTTAATCGGCACCATAAAAAATTTTGAAAAAGATGACAAACGATTTCTATACGTTTTATTCCTTTATGGAAAACTTAATTTGGCGCATCTATAAATATTTTACGTAATGATTATGATTCAAAGTATTTTTTGTTCCTCTATGACTCAATACATGTCATCTTACCACATTATTCATCGATATTCTTGTGTTTATACAGCCTAACAAAATAGAGTTTCAAAGTATAAAAACCATCATCTCATTGAGACTGTCTGGACTCTTCTTATCTATAATCATGTCCATCATAATTTTGGGACAACTTGTTACATAATCAATCATGTCTTCTTATATCTTTTAGAGTGAGGTTTCTCATCAATGTCGTTTTTCATCTGTGCTATTGTTTCCTTTGCCTTATCGCGTCTATTTTAGTGTACTTGTTTCGTTCATGATCACACTCTTGGTCTCGGCAAACTCTTCATGTGATCTATTAAGTATATTTTCCTTAGTTACTTTTGGATTTAAAAGAAATACAAGTGTGCCCACTTACACATCGTCATTATCACTTTTTTGCTAATGACACATTCTTCGAATCATCGTCTTTTCATTGTCTTTCCTCCTCGTCTCGTTTTATTCCCGATGGCCCTTTCTTTTACTTCAACCGAGCCCCTCATTACCACCGCCTTCCCTTGCAACTTTATTATTGATGTCTTCGTCCTACAATTTCTTTCGTGATCTTCAACTTATGCCAACCTTGTTTTATTTGGCATCGGAAAACTCTCCCATTGCCCCCCCCCCCCCCGGCATGGTATATATTTCACATGTAATTCTCACATTTTCTCATTTTTTTCGTCCTAACTAAAAGTACTATTTCTATTATTTTCGTATATTTTATTAAATTTTTTTTTTATATTTTAGTAAAAATAATCATATACTAATACCAAATACCCTTTATTTAAATTACAAACGTATCATTAGACATACAATTTAGAAGCAAAAATATCAAAACTTCTTATCCAATTTAATTATCTAATAAAATATTATTATTTTGTAATTTCTTGCAAGATTTCAAAAGGGAACATTCTTTAGAGTATAATTTTTTAAGCTACCACATAATTTGTCATTTTTAAAAAAATATATAATTATACATTTTAATCACATTTTAAAATTCATAATTTATAATTTTTTTATTTAAATAAAAACTATTTAGTCATTTTAATATCTATAATTATTCTTATTAAATTATAATTATTTTAATTAATACATTTGTTAATTACTTACTAACTATACAATAGCTAAATCTCTGCCTAAATTAATGAAGATAAATTAGCTAGACGGAGTACAATTTTGTGACTACTTTAGAATCTATTTCTCTCTCTAAGTTAGTCTGGGAAGCTCTCTCTCACTGGTTGTAGATAGGCAATGGTGTATGGCAAATTTGATCGGCTTAAGGCTGGATTGGATGGTACTCATAACTAATTTCCAACTGCATCTCCCAAACTTATAGCTTATAAACAAGCATTTAGTAAATACATTAGAAGACAAACAAACACACCCTTAGATCCTTTCATAACATCAACGCCAGAGATACTTCTCTGGACTTTATTATTATTATTACTACTTCCAGAGCAGTCTTCTCCGACCACTTGCATACAACATACATACATAAAACTAGGGTTCGTTCATGACGGAGAAGAAGGTGCGGCCAGCAGTTGATCTCTTCGCTTTCCCCATTCATGAATCGAGAGGTTAAGCTTCTTCGTGGCCACGATAAGATCCACCGCCTGCGCAGGTGTCAGAATCGCCATCAGGTCCTTCAACGTCCGGAGCCGCAGCCGATCCGCGTTGGCCAGCAGGCGACCCAGCGACGCACAGAGCTTATCCATGGCGCGATCCACCGCCTTACTCGGCACCCCAATTTCACCCACTCTCTTCGCCATTATCGCCAGTGGCTCGTCTGCTATGTCCTCCTGCAATATGCACAAATCAACACTCACCAGGTCCAGTTCATTCAATCTCTACTGATACGAATCAATTAGATCTTCGTTCGTTAATTACTTCAGAAATGATTCGAATCCAACATCAATTTCATGATCGATATCTGATAATCTAATTCAGAATCGAACAACTGACGAGGATGCGCACCTGTAAACTCGCAAGGCGGCCAGAGAGCTCGTCTACCTCCAGAACAGTTTTGCAGTGCAGAGTATTGATCATATTCAGCTGTTCCGAAGATATCTCCGCCAGATTGCTTTTCCGGTCACCGGACAGGACGCCGGTGAGCTGATCCTCCACCTCCGAGCCACAGACAGAGTAAACAAGCCTGACGGACAAGGAAGGTCTGCAGCCTCCAATCCACATGAAGGCATTCTCGAGCGAGGAGCACCACGAGGGCGTCAGAAATGACGAGGCGTCGCGCTTGCACATTCTTCCGCGGTTCTCATAGTATTCCTCAAAGTGTTTTATGGCCTTGTCCCCAAGAAGCTTCAGCTTCTCATCAGTTATGGTGGAAGGAGGGGAGATGGCGTTGAGGAGCTCATCAAGGTCTTCGTACTGTTGGGCGATCCAGTTTTTGAAGGACAACTGGAAGTGACCCCAGACGAAGCCCGCAGCCATTTTTTAGTAGGTTTTTGGTGTCGAGACAGGCGGAGAGGTTTCCGAGTTTTATAGTAGGCCATCTGTCGCCGTGGTGCCATTTTATGTGAGCTCAAGCTTTCCTACATAAGCAGCCAAAAAAATATCAATGTCGGGAATTGGAGAATATACATTTATGGGCGGGCTCGTCTAGTTGTATGTAAAATGCACATGCGGAGGGCACCGTGATATTAGCCTACCCGACTATTTCAATATCCGCTCATACAACTTATGATGGACTCATTGTATTCCTCGTGTCAATGAAGTATACATTCTCAAGAGTAGATTAATAAGAATTTCAAAATTAAGCATACTTATCATGAATGGTGCTCTAGTCGATTTGTAGAACGAGTCTACAGGTTCAGGGCAAAGGGCCTGGGCCGGGGTGTTACATATAGACATAACCATATAGTACTGAATAAATTTATTCAGGACTATGCTAACGGCTAATAGTGCATAGATGATGCAATATCGTCTATCGCATGAAATTATGATGGATAATATCATTTTATTCAGTCTAATCTCATATTTTACTTTTATGTGTCTATTGCATGAAATTATGATGGATAATATCATTTTATTCAGTCTAATCTCATATTTACTTTAATGTACCCGGGTATGATATAACTATAAATTTGATAAAATACCCTAATATCATTTCATCCTATGTAATAGAAATATCAAAATTACCATTCATTAAGGGATAAAAAGAAAATAGTATAATATATTTGCAAAAAAGTAATTTAGAATTTTGAGAATAAAATTAAATATATTTAATAAATATTAAAAAATTATATCAAATTTATATATTTAATTAAACAAAATAAAAATTATACTATTAATAATCTATTAATTATATAATTTCTTAAAATAATCTTATATACTATAATCATATTCTCAATAATCCATATAGCACATATTACAATTTAGATCAACACAGCACATAATACAATTAAATTCACCACAAAATAAGTTCTTACATACATGTATTGTGTCAATTTAGACTATATGTTCTCTTACTATTTTCTATCGGTGCTAATTAGCCCTAATCAACGCACTAACCAGTCCCTAACTACACATAACATACATACAAAAACATTGGGAATACACAATGAAAAACAGACAAAAATATGAGAGAAAATCATTGAACTGACTGAAACATTTGGCATTATGTAGAAGAGATGCATATCTAAACTGTAATTGAGAGAGACAGAGCCTTCAGAGTAAAATAGGATCACCTTATATTTCCAAGACAAGAACGACGATAACGATACACAACAAAATCCTGCAGACATATCGATCAGCATCAGCCCCTGAAACCTCAGGTCAAGCCCACAAGGATCACATGAAGTTGTCGCGGTCAGCCGAGCAGATCATGTACCCCACACAATGTAACTACACAACAGATTCAGGTTCATACTGCGATACAGATGTTGCAGAAATAATAAGAGAACAGCCAAAAGTTCGAGTTCTGCCATGGTTTAAATGAAGTAAATTCGAAACAGGAAATTATCGCGGCAGACTACAAGAAATGCACCATAATCAAATACCATTAAGAAGATATACCTGAATCCATCCTGTGCAGTTAACTGAGTTCGGCTTGAGAGCCCCCCGAGAACTGTTCCATGCGACTATAACACTGTTGTAGAGCTTATTAGAGATACGGTGGACAATGTCGAAAATAACAACAATAATAATAATAACAAACATAGGTTAAAACATCAACAGAATGTTATAGATTAGATGAGCAATTATTGTACAAGGTTCGACTAGATAAAGATCACAACTTTCGCAGGCGCCAATTTAAGAATCACAAAAGAGCTTCCTGCAACAAAATTCCCGCAAAGCATGTCCCGGAAAATGGATATTCCTCAATTCAAATGTATAACAAGAAAGATCTCAAAATGGCAATAGGTCGAACAAAGACCTTACAGTTAGTTTCTTACAGGCAATAATACAAACAGAAATTTCGAAGGCCTTAGTCCCATGACCAACAAATATGAACAGTTCTCATCAATCGTTAAGTAGATATGCAACAAAGATAGGTTTCCGAGCAATGATTCTTCTACACTTCACACATGTTCTTGAATCAATGCTAATGCAAAGCAAAAAAATAAATACCGAAAACTTAATTTGCAACGCCCCCGGAACTAAAATTTGCTCAAACATATCTTTGGATACAAAGAAATTATAGCAGCCACCATTCTTGCACAAACACTCCATGGTAAGAAAGATTATCCCCGTAACCAAGAAATTCCAAAAACACACCATTGTCTGTGCCTAAATGTTATCGAAAAATATCAAATCCAACCCGCTAATTACCACTCCCAAAAATATCAAATCCAAAATTACATGCCTCAGTAAAAACATCCCAAAATACAGACCTATTTATCCAAGAATCTCTATCCAAAATACATATGCAGAATGGCGAGAAATCATAAACTGATGGATTCAATGAAAGAGAAACTATATATATATATATATATATATGTATGAATGTATTGGTCAAAATCAGCAAACAATCCCAAAACAGATAGCATAAAAAATCAAACAAACTTCTTCAATCATAAGATCCTAATTAAACAAGGAATCAGTTATTTCGGAGTTCTAAACTACGTAACAATCAACAATCGCTCTTCCAAATCCAAATCCACATCCATTCGTAGGAATTACGCTTATTCAACAGCCTTCTGCACGTTGGATGGATTCTCTACAGACGCTCTCTCTACTCGAAGCTCCTCCTGATTCTGGACCGATTTATCCTTCTCTATTCCTTTCCACTTGTTAATCGCAACGGTGCACACAACTTCAACCAAAAACATCGAAAATCGAAGTCTGTAATTTAATGATACGCAGAGAAAGAAAGTATGAAAATGAATCAATTGAAAGAGATTGCAAAGAAAAAAAGCAAGCAAGTATGTACCTGCAGGACCGATGAAGAAGAGAAGGCGTATGAGCTTGGGGGCGACCTCTTCGCCGGCGGGAACTGGAATCTTCATCGCTAAGTCTCAACTGCTCTTGGGAGAGGAAGAATTGGTGAATATGGACATGGGCCTTCATTGATTGGGCTATGGAATTTTATTTGGCGATTTCTATTTTTATTGGGTCAAAAGCTCGAGGTTTCCGTAGATGATTTTGAAATTTAATTTAAAAAATCCAAAAAAAAAAATATAGATATTGTTGGCTCCAAATTTCGATAAACTCACCGCAATAGTAAATTTCGAAAATTAACACAAAAAAATTTCTTGTTGGATAACTGCTAATACCCAATTCGGTTGCATCAGCCTATTGATGGAATTAGCTTCCGAACTTCAAGGGGAGGAGGGCAAAATTGATATGTTAAATTTATTTTTTTTATTATTCGACTTTCAATTTTAGTATATTTTGAAAAATTTTTTATTGATATTTTATTTGAATCGATGATTTGACTTGTTTATGTATGTAAAAAAGAAAAAAGAAAATTACAAAAATCTACTTGTGAGTTCACTACAGTTAAATTAATATCATTTTATCTTCTTTAATTTTCGTTAACACTATCGTAAAATTATGAAAAATAAATAAATAAACAAAAATAAAAAAAATAAATAAATAAAAAAGTTGTGGGAAATATAAATAAATGAAGTTGTGGCTGCAATGAAAATACAATTTGAGCTACTCTCCTCAATAAATAGACAATCAATCTTTTTATAATAATTCATCATACGTTTCGATAATATGTAAATATCAATTAAAATTTAATCAAGAAAATAACTAGTAATAGATATTTAATACAATAATTTACGAATATATATATATATTTGATGTAATTTTTTAAAAATATGATTTATTAATAGTGCCAAAAACAAATATATATATATATATATATAAATAGATAAATAGAGATAACTTTTATAAATTATTATTCTAATTCCTATGAAAGTATCAATTTACTTTTTTCTAATTAAGTTTTGTAATATTAATATTATAGTATATAATATAATTTTATCTCTAGGAATATTTTGTAACCGTAATTAAATTATATTGATGAATTATTGTATAATGGGATAATAATTTTCTTTTTTGTTTAAATATTTGTAGGGATCACAATTATTAAAAAAAAAAATCAAAATAGATGGATGAATTCTAGATAGAAAGAGTAATTTTAGACTCTTTTTAAATTTATCTTTACTATTCATCAATAATTTTTTTTTGTTTGTTCTTCTGAATTTTTGTCTAATCTTCAAACGAGGGATGTCTTACTGCTTGATGTACAAGGATTTGACAATTAAGTTGCTGACTAGTCTAATTGAATTGAATTTTATAGATTTGGGCTCGGCTCATTAAATATTGAATGTTTGAATTCGATTCATATTTGTTCAATTAATATATACGAGTTGAATTATTTTATTAGCTTGACTAGTAAAATGTTTTTTTTTTTTATTTAAAATTAAATTCAAATAATAATAATTAGAAAAACTTATAAATTTTGCCTTAGATGTGAAATAAATGATTAGTTTTAGATATTTTTTATTTTGTATTTTAAGACAATATCTTAACAGTAGACTTTAATTTTGTCCTTCAATATTAGGAAAAATCACGTACAAATCACGTAATTTTATATGACAGTGTCGGCACCAAGTTGGACATGTTAGAGTTGAAATGGACGCTAAGTGGCATTTTTTCGACGATACCATTTAGCGTTCACTTCAGGGCTTGCAATGGGCATAAGAACACATTATCTGCCCATCAATTTTCCGACATTGGAAAACAAAATTAAGATCTACCATTGAGATATTATCCTAAATTGTGAAATTAAAAAGAAAAATTTAAAATGATAATATGTCTCACAAAATTTGTATTTTTCCTCAATAATTATTATATATTCTATTAATAGTACATGGAAAATTGAATTAATTATAATATCAAAAATATATATTTATTAAATGTAAACCTATTAACTTAATTTTAATGTATTAACAAATTTAAACTTGTTCATGAATATAATGACCTAAAGTTATATGTTTGTGTTTTCCATTTAACTTAGCAAACAACTCAAACTAAATTGTTTGTTTTATAGTACTATGATGTAGTGTAATATCCCCAGAGTTGGAGATGTTGCTTCACCAATTTTCGTGTATGGATGAGTCGGTGTCATACCATCCGAGGTTGAATATAGGTTAAATTAATGGATTGAATAGATTACTAATGTTAACAATGTGCACATTTCTTTTCGGGAGTCCTACTGAAAAAATTCTAGAGTTAAACGTGTTTGTTCTAAAGTAATTTAAGGATGAATGACTCGGGAAGTCTCTTAGGTACGCATGAGTGACGACAAAAGCGCACATGAAAGACTCGTGTTGACCTGTGCGACCAGTCTACAATCCCGACACGCTCGACTTTGCGTAGCTTGCGGATCGGGGTGACATATAATCATGTAAAATGTACTATAAATAAAAGAATATATTTTTTTTTAGAAAAGAAGGAAAAATTAGTAAGGGTATTAGTAATTTTATGTGTGGGGAGTGAATTTCTTTTTTTCTTTTTTTTTTTAAATGAAGAGAATAAGAAAAAAATCAGTGTATTTGGAGTAAATAATACTCCTCTCATTTAATTTGTCCATTATTTTTATTTTCGTCCATTATAAATAATTTATCTTTTTTTTGAAAATATAATTATACACTTTAATCATACTTTAAAATTCATACACAATATTTAAAACTCTGTGCCTGAGCTAAGAGAGACAAATTAGCTGAAACAAGGGGAGGGAGTATTATTTCAAAAACCATTTATATACAACTATTTCAAAATTAATTTCAAATGCTTTGTTCACCAAACACTAATTTTCATTTGCGATTCTCCAAAAATAATATTAATACAAAACATTTCATCCGTCTCATATCTATATATCTATTTTTTTATACGGAATTTTAAAAATATTAGTATTATATTGAGATGTAGTAGAAATAAAGCTTAATATGTTTCTTTTGACAAATTTTCTCAAATTTTACTATTTAGATTTTGCGTTTCCAAAAAAAAAATACATTTTTTCCTCTCACAAAACATCCTATCAAATATTATTTTAATATCAAACTCAAACAAAATTTTCCCAAACTCAAGCAAAAGAAACATATCCTAAAGTAACCTTATCAGTATTATATGATATAAAGGTAAAGACATTTGTATAATATATTGTAAATTTGAAGGATATTTGTACTATTATGTAAATAATACAATTACTAAAAAAAAAATTGATACTTTGTTATGAGACGGACAAAAATGAAAAATTGATAGATTGTTAAGGGTCGGAGGGAGTATATTTTTATAAAAATAAAAAAAGAAAAGAAAATTTCAAATAATTGTTACAAAAAATCAAAATATTCAACTTAAAATAATAAATTTTATATTTTTGATACAATTATCCCTACCACAAAAAAAAAAAAAAAAAAAAAATCAATTATCTAAAACACACTGTGAACAACGGGGTTTTTTTCAAGTAAAATTGTCATTAAAAGTAAAGTTATACTCCCTCCGTCCCGTATACCGTGTCTGCTATACCGTAGACACGGTATTTTAGGAGGAGTATAATTAGTAGATAATTAAGAATATATATTAGTGAAAATAATTATCTTATAATATAAATAATTATAAATTAAGATTAAGATAACTAATTAGTTTAATTAAAATTAATAAAAAAATAAATTTAAAAAATTAAAATGAGATTAAAGTGTATAATCATTTTTAAAAAAATGAAAGTGACATGGAATGTGGGAAAAAAACGGACATGGCATGTGGGACGGAGGGAGTATTAAAAAATTATTAAAAATAAAAATATGATATAATAAAAAAGATTTAAAATTATTCAAAGAGTATCTAACAACTTTATTACTATTATTATTATTATTATTATTATTATTAGATTTGTTCTTGTACAATTGAATATTTGTTATTGAATGATCATGGTGGTAATGCAATTTATGAGTGACAACATCGAATCCATACCATTCTTTTGTGTGCTTTTTTATTTTATTTTATTTTTTCATTATATAGTCATTTGCCTTGGCATGTTGTTACATTTTTTATACACTATCTATCATATATTGAAATATTTTTTCTCCACTAAGCCATATTTTTTATTAAAATATTTTATATTTAAAAAATGTTAAAATAAGAGAATCTTTCTCTTATATATATTTTTTACCAAAAAAATTCTACATAATTCTCTATATTAATTTTAGTCCAAAATTTTCTCTTCACACATTTAATTTTAATTTAATACTTTGTATATATTTTTGTTATAGTTTGAAATTGATTTAAAATTAAATATTAATTTAAATTTTTATTTTTATTAAAATAATAGTTTGACGTAATATTTTATATAAAAAAAATAATATACTTTTATTAAAAATATACAAAATTAATAGTGCTGATTTCAGTTTGAAATCATAACAAATATTATTCAAAATACTCTTTAAAGTAAAATTGTCTATTTACACTTTTTTTACATCATATATTAAAATCAATTAAAACAAATGACATGAAGAATAAATTAAATAGATTAATTGAATTTTAAGATAGCAGAAGTAGACAACGAAGGACAATGAAACATGACAACATACAAGAAAATATGACTGAAAAGTGACAAAAGATAGCACCAAGTGATAAAATGAGAAGAAAGATAACTACGAGTCTATGACCGTAAAATTAAGAACGAAGTCGAAAAATAACGACAATAACGGTTTGCTTGTTTAGTTATTTGATTGATTGTATATAAATAAGGTATAAAGAATTACGTCGGTAATATAAAAAATAATTATATTAAATATTGATTTTTGTGATAGGATAAAATATATATTAAAAATCGTGTAAAATAAATTTGAAATAAACAATGTTTGAATATTTGCGGAAAATAGAAATTATATTTTAATCTAAAAAGAGAATGCATATATATAGGCATATATATGTGGACCCCAAATAACAATATATAAAAAATATGCTAACACCCCCCTAAACTCAAGATGGTAAAGTAGAAACCAACTTGAGTTTGCTCAACAATGTAGAGAAATGGTCTGGGAAGAGAGACTTGGTAA